CTGAAAAAAATGTTTACAAATTCGTGCAATGGTCCTTGAGAAGTGGTACCAATTAGATGCATAAGTGGGACAGAGCTACAGAACGTGGATAGGCAGCTACACACAACAACTGAAGTTAGCCGTCTGCTGCATTAAAAATTGAACAAGATCTGCGGGTGGCCACAGCAAATCTCGCTGTATTCTCCAAACCCAGAGAGGCCGATAGCGTGACCATTAAAAATGCAAATTTTGCTGCCAAATCACACAAAACGAGGCGCTTGTTAAATCACGTGTGAACGGTTTTTATACAGATAAAAGACAAGGTGACGGAGCGTCCTGTAATATCCACAACACCACACTCATGCATCAGCAGATGTTTCTAAATATAAAATTAATTAATAAATTAAAGAAATAATATATTTTATTTGTACATTTTATACTTCTACATCAAAGAGCGATATTGTTTATATTGTGATATTATTTTACAATGCAATATTTTTAATGACAATTAAGCACATAAAACACAGAAAGCAGTTTTACAAATGAGAAAATAAGAAAAAAAAGAAATCAGAATACATGAAGGCAATGCAACAAATACGATTCTGCATACATGAAACAATATTTTTTTTGCATTACAGTAATATAAATGAGAAATGAGCTTAACCGTCATGATATACAGTACAATATGGATGATTCTATAATTTTTTTTTAATTATTTGTAACTGTTACTCAATGTCATGGATCACAATTACACAATTAGATGAGATTACAATATAATATTTTCTGTAAAAAGGGTCATTAAATAGCTGATAATCATGAATTGGTACTATTTTTTTTCCATCATGTATCATTGTGTAATCAAAATGTTTTATTTTACTTTTCTTTTAGTAAGATTAATTTTATTTATACAAGCCCGAAATAGTCATTTTCTTAATTCTACAACATTAAATGGTTTAAAAGCAATGTTTTATCTTATAAAAACGTGTAAATCTTGCATCAATTCTGTTACCATACCATCCTTTACCTTTAAACTGGTGGAATCATTTCTCACAACTGTAAGATATAGGAAATGATGTCACTTTCCCTCATGGATAAGATCTGAAGCACTGAAAGGTGTGTGCTCTCTAAAATATTTTAACCTTGAAAGTTATTTAGTGAAATACCACAATATCAAAAAGAAAACAGAATTGATCACTGTTCACACAGTGGGATCTTTAAAAGTATTTTAATCATGATTTTATTAGTGCCACGTGATCTTAGCATTTAAGCTAGCAAGTATGGTTTTTGGGCTAAAAGTTTAAAATGGTCAACTCTGTTACTGTTATTTCTACACACTGCCTCATTTGTCTGTAACAGAGTTGACAAACAATACTATAAATAAATAACTTTAATAAATAAAATTAAAAAGAAGAAAGTAACTTGTTTTTGACAAGCACTGAATGATTATAATTAAATATGTTTTCAAAAAGGTACTGGAAATAATTTCAGTTTTGTTTTTTTACTTTTTGAAATGCAAATATCCAATTATATATATAGTCGCCATTTTAGGATATTTATGATTTACCGAATATTTTTCAGTAATTCATGAAAGTACTCCTTATACTCTATTGCATTTTTTTACTCAGTGGCTCCAGTGATTTAATTTGGTCAAGCGGTTTCCCAAAATGTGGGATCCCGGATCATGCCTCCTACAATCACTCGTTCACATAATAGCATTTCTAAAGATGAAGCCACTTTTCATTACATGCCAATTCTCAAAGCCAGTCAACAGAAACAAGTGTGTCATTCATAACGCAGCCCAAAGCTGAGTGTATCACTCCTCACAGACAGAGGGTCCCAGTGAAGGGAGGACAAAGGCCCCACTGCGTCGGCACGTTACCAATTAACAGGAATTTTGCCTTAAAAAGCTGCTTTTCCAATGATCTCATTTGGAGCAGACTTAAACTTTCACGGCTTTCATTGAAAGGCATTCGCAGAATTCCGAAAAGCATTAAAGCCACTTCATCACGGGACCCGGGACCCCTCTTCGAGAGCCCTCGATGGTGTCATGAGCACTTCTAATTAAGAGCATCAGTCCCTCCTCATGAAAGAACCATTAACAGCCACGGGCAATGCAGAGAAACAACAGATGAACACAGATGCAATAGCTAATTGCTCCAAATCACTAAGGGACAAACGGCTCATCGGAATAAACATAGCACTCCAAAAAAGATTTGGGGGATACCTTGAAGTTATCAGATGGAGTCTCGGTTCTGAAGTGCAACTCTGAGTCTCGTGTTAAGCCAGGTTCACATTGTACTATTTTATATTTCTCTGATCTTAGACCAAAGTCTTTAATCGCTAGTTTGACCACGACGATCAAATTTGAGCTCAGATGAAATTCTGGCAGTGCAACTTCTCCTTTGACAACCGTCAAGTCAAAAACCAATAGGAGTGCAGAACCTGATGATGCAATTAGTGAGACAACAACAAACCTACACTTGCTCCACACACATCTTCTAAGCCATGATCAAAATTACATGCTAGAGATTGTTTTTGTTTGCCAGACACCATTTCAATCTAGGGCTGTGTAACGATTAATCGCATCCAAAATAAAAGTTTGTTTTCACATAATATATGTGTGCGTAGTGTGTATAATTATTTTGTATATATAAATACACACACATGCATGTATATATTTAAGAAATATTTGCATGTATATACATTATATTTAATTAATATTATACCTAAATCAGGGCTGTCAAACGATTAATCGCGATTAATCACAGCCATAATAAAAGTTTGTTTACATAATATATGTGGGTGCACTGTGTATAATTATTTTGTGTGTGTATATATATATATATATATATACACACACACACATGCATGTATATTTAGGAAAAAAATATCATTTATATAAAATATTTATATTTAATATAAATTATATATAAATCTATATACAGTAAATACGTGAAAATATTTCTTAAATATATACAAGCATGTGTGTGTATAATTATACACAGTGCACCCACATATTTTATGTTAACACAAACTTTTATTTTGGATGCGATTAATCGCGATTAATTGTTTGACAGCCCTGACATAAATATAAATATTTGATATATTACACATTTTTCTTTAATATATACATGCATATGTGTGTATATATATACAAAATAATTATACACACTACACACACATATATTATGCAAACACAAACTTTTATTTTGGATGCGATTAATCGCGATTAATCATTTCACAGCCCTAATTAAAAGTATCCAACACTGTTTATACTACAGACATGGCGGAAGATAAAATGAAAGAAAAAAAAAAAACACAGTTGCACTGTGAATCCACTCTGCTAAACCCTAGAATTAACATTGACATTGAGACTGGCAAAGCGCCAGCGATAACCAGGATGTACAACAACAGAAGTGGAACTTATTAAAATGAAACAAAAGTCAACAGAGAAGGCAAAACCCAAAGATAAACATTAAATACGGCTGCTTTACAGTGAGCTGCATCGCTCAGATTCCAGACATTTGTGCTTTATTTCTCCCACCAAAGAAGACCTGAACGGTCAAAGTAAGGTTGATGATACTATCCAGCCCTTCACAGATTCAAACCAGGGTCGATTTGGTTAAACCTGCTCACTTTCACTTACCTAAGTGCATTTTGCCATGGAGAATGAGGAGGATGGGAAAACGAAACACTCTGAGGACAGCGAGTGTGGGCGAGGTCTTTCTAAGATGATAAGTGGTAAACTAACAAATTATAGCTTAGTTTTATGCTCAAACTCTTCTGATATGATTTCCAAGGCTCTAAACCCATGATTTACAGTAGAGCACATGGAATATGTCTTTAGAAATGTGTTGTAAAGCCCCTTACTGTAAAGAGCAATGTATGGAAAAGAAAACATGACTGGACTAGAGGACAATGCCATCTACAAGTCATAGAAAGGCTAAAAATGACCAACCTAATCTTATGAGAAGACTATTTTACGAGGTGGAGATTGCGCATTAATTTGCACTATATGATTCATGGAAACTTAAGATTTTTTGGGAAAAAGTAGGCGTGAAGGTCCACCCCTGAACCTCACCCTCATGCGTAACCAGATCACACAAAAAATTACAAACAAGAGAGTACAAATTAAAAAACAAATAGCCGCCAATTCGTGATTATGGCCAAATCAGGTCATAGTTGGATTATGACCAAATCAGATTATGTTTTTCTTAACTTTAAAGATGTCCAAAATAGGAATCAAGCACAACTCATGGCTTATGGCAAACAGATTTGAGTCATCTTGAGTGGGAGAACCATAATCTCATACCACCAACAAAGCAGACGAGAACTTCTCTTTAGTTCACTGAAGACTGCCACTAGCTGACGAGCGATAGATAGATAGATAGATAGATAGATAGATAGATAGATAGATAGATAGATAGATAGATAGATAGATAGATAGATCTGCAACTGTAGAAACGATTGAAATTACTGACGTCTTTCTTCTCAGGAGAAACATCTGAGAAGCTCTTCATTTAATCTCAAAACTGACATAGAAGAAATTAACATAGTAGGCAGGCAGTCGGCACACAATCCAGGTGTGACGTAGGGCTACCAAAAAAAAAAAGAAAGAAAGACAAACCCAGACTAGTCCTTGACAGGACTTCAGGTAGTCATCTGAAACCGCTCACACACATTGTGATTGTTTGCAATATTCACACAAATTAATCAATAATCATAAGATTTGTAGGCTGTCTGATTAAAATGAAAAAACTCGCGATCATTTGTTATTGTTGAGACAATCAAAACAATCCATTTAACGTTAAACCGGTGGATCGGAGAAAAAAATACCCGGATTTATAAACACGATAAGAAATATTGAGCTCGCACAAATTCATTTAAATCAATAAACCACACCTTTTATTTATATTATCAACCGGAAATCTGGCTAAAATCACCTTCAGGTCTAGTATGTTCAATCTCAACGGTTAACAAAAAACATCTGATATAAAATAAGGCGTTCGTAGCCTACTCACCTTGTCGAGAACCACAAATGTGGTGTGAATAAAATCCTTTTGTTTTCTGGCTGCTCTGAATGACCTTTGATTGACTGTTTTCGGTCTATGAATGAACGAGGCTCAGCTTTCCATAGTCAATAGCCTAATGTTTTGCGGCTCTAACAGACGAAATGAAACGGAGAGTGAGCGCGTTCAGTGCGCGTTCATGACGGGGGTTGCCTGGGAACGCGCACAGCTGCACGAGTCATCTTCACGCCGGTAACAATTAATGTATCCCAACGTCACGATCAAACGCGATCCGGAATGATCGGATGCCTGCCTGGATAAGCAGTGCTTATTGGGTCCCTGAGAAACAGCACACGGCCGAAGGGGGAGTCAACCCCATGACACCCATATGAGACGGTGGGAAAACTGAAGGCAGCTGGGAGGGCAGGGCGCTTGACGTGACACTGTTTTACTACGTTACACTTGACTAGCATAGGTCTGCAACTGCAGAAGAAAGAGAGAGAGAGAGAGAGAGAGAGAGAGAGAGAGAGAGAGAGAGAGAGAGAGAGAGAGAGAGAGAGAGAGAGAGAGAGACTGGAATGGGGTTTATCATGACTCTGTAGAGAATATAAGGTAACTGGGCCACCTATTGCTGGATCTGGGGCACCCACAACGTCATTTTGAGATTGCTTGGTGCAAAAAATAAATAAATAAAGAATAAAATGTTAAAATATCTATGTATGTATGAATGTATTTAAAAATATAAATGGAAATAAATTAATAAATAAATAAATATGGCGATCGCAAAAGCTTTTATTGACAAATATAAATATAGGTGGGGTTCAAGGTTGATGATTTGTTCCTGCAAAAAAAAAAAAAAAAAAAAAAAAAAAAAAACTAAGCCGGTCAGGTGGTTTAAATCTATTTATCTCGTCTGTGGACAGTGTAGGACCATAAAATGTCCGTCCAATCATTGCATTCGTCCCGTTTGCAATTTTAAATTTTTTTTTTTTTTTTTTGGGGAATTTTCGGCCTGTATCCAATGATTGGATGTCCTACCTGTCTGTCAACATATGTATTTTCATATGTGTGTTACAAGCTTTGGCAATATTGTAATATGTACAGTCATGCCGATAAAGCAATTTGAATTGTATTTTCATTCTATGAAAATAGCTATTTTCATTTTTTTTTTTGTATTTTCATTGTCATTTCATTCCATGTGCATGTACAGTTTCGCCTGAACCAAAACAATGAGCTTATGCTGCATTCCCGCCAAAACTACACACATTTATGCGTTTCTATGGAAACACTATCAACGCTGAAATTAATCTGCAGCAGTCAGATGGCACAGGTCTTTAAGTTGTTTATGTTCATTATTATTGTAATATTGTATTAATTATTTGAGACTTGATGTAATTTAACACTGTCTCCTGATGCTTTGCAGGTGGGATCTTTCAAAGCTAAGCCATTGGTTAGACTGATGAACAAACACGCCCCCTTCACTGAACGAATCAATTTGTTTTGATATAAAAAAATGACTGACTTTTTGATCTAAAAGTGACTAGTCATCGACTGAATGCGAATCGTGAGCGACTCGGTGAACCATCGGTTCAGTGAATGGTTCAAAGGTGGAGACACTCAATTGTCTCCACCTACTGGCGTAATGTGCAACATGCAACGAGGGTCACTGAACGAATCAAAATTGTACTTTTCGGAACCGATTTAAAAGATTTAAGCCACTGCGATGAATAAAAAAAAAAAAAAATACCACCACTGGTGTAAAGACACTGGTAAAAACAGTCTTTTTAATACTTTTTAATAAAACACGAGTTCTAAGCTTTTAATAAGCAACACTTTCATTAAAAATATAATTATATACATTCAGAGCTCACTCTTTTTTAACCTCAGGCAAGTTTAGCCAGCATTTTCGTAAAGAAGAGGAATTCAGACATGTTCACATTCCTCATTGGATATTAGGAACCAGATTTGGGACTTTTTTTAAAGAGCGCTTGCCATTTTCTATAACATGACAAGTCTCATCAGATATTGAAAGCCACATACCAGAAACTATAGCCTGGGGCTTATTCCTGCTGTCTTCCTCCATTTGCACATGGTATGCTTGTTTTACAGAAAATCCTAGTTTATATCCCAAGGATTTGCCAATGCTGCCCCCTGCTGGCGGTGACTGGTTGCTCTCTGAAAGGCTTTTGTTTCATGATGTCAACACTGTAATATTCAGCAACAAGGTTTGTAAGAAATAAGACCATACGAATATTAGATTGCATTAAAATTAAATCAGGTTTATTCATGTTATGTGTTATTATTAATATTCTTATTAAAAAAAAACAGTATGTGAGAAATAGGGAGATGTTCCTGACTGATGAGCTCTGAGCAATCAACATTACAGATTGTAAATCGTGGTAAAGAATTGTACGGAGTGGAATCTGAATCAAACATTGCAGCTCGAAACTGAACACAAACCTGCTGTTTACATATCATGTGATGTGTTAGTGTTTGATGTGTTTAATGTATGTTAGAATTAAATATGCACAAAGGGAATATATTCATGCAGCACTAAAGGCTTGAAAATAAATGTGCCGATTCAACAGAGTGGGGTGGGGTGTTAATGGACAACATGTAAAATAAGCCGTCTTACAAAATCATTTCATGTTCTCAAGGTGCGATTAGACTAGAACTTAATTGTTTTTGCATTCACTTGTATTCATATGCATGCAATTGTGGGAGACCGCCCGGGATCACAAGAATATGTGTAGACGTTTTGCCTTTTCGCTGTGTATTGAAATTTGGTGTGAATTCATAGTGAAAACAAGTTCGACCAATAGAGGACGTAAATATCATGCTGACCACATCTTTAGGCAGAAAGATTTTGAAAAGCAGCCTGAACAACAAGAAGAAGAAAATAAAATAGCTGGAGCTTGATGAATTTGAACAGACAAGTTCAGTTTCGCTTCTGAAAGGGATCGTTAACCCGACCAAAAATAATAATAATGATAATAATAAAAATTCTGTCCTTTTTTTTTTTAACCCTCATGTCATTTCAAACCTGCAGGCGTTTCTTTCCCTTCCATTGCCTGTCCTGTCTACTCTTTTTAATATAATGTAAGTGAATGAGAACTGGACCTGTCAAGCTGGAAAATGACAAAAAGCATAATAAAAGTGGTTGATATGACTATATCATATGAAAACATGACAATACGGTATTTAGCCGTTAATTTCAAAAACAGTAACACACCGTATTTTTACGGTATGATGCTGGCAACCACAGCTGCCAGTAGTTTACTGTTTTTTACAGTGAGATTGCTTTCTACCTAAATTGAACTCATTCCATATTTCTATAAACTTTACACCGACTACTGAACTGAATCCAAAACTGCTCTTTAGCAGATTTTAATTCTGTTTGCATAATTATTTTCCTGTTTATCCCAGTAAAGCTTATTTAAAACAATCGGTATTGTATAAAGCGCTATATAAATAATGGGTGACTTGACATAAAATTGTGAAAGACATGAAGGTTCGACGTAATTGAATGGGGAGGACAACTAGCGTATTATTTCAAATTTCGCAGAAGAAGCTTTGGGGTGCCATGGAGGTGAATAAATGATGACAGTATAGATTTTTTTTTTTTTGTGGAGGTGACCTATTCCTTTAGGATCGAGTCATTCATTTTCAAATAAACCCACCTTGAATAGCGAGGTCAGAACGGTTTAGATATGTTTAACTTGGAAGTCAATTCTGCTGGAACGTTCCCTTAATGGATTGTTAATGGATAATATGTAAAACAACACTCAAGATATCAAAAAAAAAGCGTTTAATTCCACTTAAGTCCTGCACTTTTACTCCTCTTTGTCTCTGTGGTTAGACGAGACGCTTGGGAAGAGCACGTCGCTCTCCACCGACAGGTTGCTGCCGAGTCCCGCGATGCGACTGCGCAGGAGGAAGTGAGTCCTGCGCTGAAGCAGCCGCTGCTGCTCCTGTTTGAGCTCCACGTAGGAGCGCGAGAACGTGTGGAAGATGGAGGTGACGGGGAACGCCATGAGCAGGATCCCGCTGAGGATGCTGCTGAGCGCCACCACCTGTCCTGGGATGCTGCGCGGCACCATGTCCCCGTAACCCACCGTGGTCATCGTGATCACGGCCCACCAGTACGTGGCGGGAATGCTACTGAACTCTCGCGTGGCCGCCGCCTCGTTCTCGATCAGGTAGAGGAGCGGGGAGAAGAGCGCTATGGCGACGCAGAGGAAGAGGAGGAGCAGGCCGAACTCTCGCGTGCACCTGCGCGCCGTCAGCCCGAGCGTCTGGAGTCCGAGCGAGTGGCGCGCCAGGCGCATCACGTAGAGGATGCGTAACGCGCGCAGGACCCGCAGCACGAGGCCCACTTTGTCCAGGTAACTGTTGCCTGAGCCCAAGCGCTTCTCCCCCGTGGAGGTGCTGTCCACCACCAGCGTGATGTAGTAGGGCAGGATGGCTATGACGTCGATCAGGTTGAGCGGGCGCCGGAGGAAGGCCAACTTGCTGCGGTCTTGGATGAAGCGCAGCGTGAACTCCAACGAGAACCAGGCCACACACACCGTCTCCACTATGAAGATGTTGTAACACATCTGAGAGCATTTCCCCTGAAAGAGATCAAAAGTTTATATAAAGTAAGAAGAAATTAAATTAAGAAATGCGCTTCTAGAAGAAATCATAAATTGCTATAAACACTAGAGCCCGACCGATAAAGGATTTTGAAGGCCGATACCGATACAAATATTTTTGGGTTTTAAAATCCGATATATCGGCCGATATTTTATTTATTTATTAAACTGGACATGATAGTCACAAATTTTGTCCTGCTTATTTGAGTTAAGAGAACTGATGGGGAAGTTCTTTTAATTGTTATTCAAGCAATGTATGTATCTTGACCAACTCAACGAGTGTTGCCAACAGGAAGGGTGTAGAGTGCCCTCTGGTGGACAAACTATACAACTCCAACACTCATGACATGGTTCAAGCGTGCTTCGTCCGTTTTTATTTTATTTTTGAAATATTAATTTATCGGCCATTATAACTGCCGATACCGATAGATTGGAAAATGCCTACTATCGGCCGATAATATCGGTTTGCCGATATATCGGTCTGGCTCTAATAAACACACTCCTAAACCTTGTGCAAAGCCTTCCCAGAAGAGTTGAAACTGTTATAGCGGCATAGGGTGGGCCAACTCCATATTAAACCATTCGGATGAAGAATGGGATGTCATTTAAGTACAGGTGCATGTAAAGGCAGATGTCGCAAAACCTTTGGCAATCTAGTATATGTTATTCACAACAAAAACATTTAAAGGTTTAAAAAGCAGTGTTTCACACTGTAATGTGTTTTTACAAGACTTGTTCAATTTTTCACATTCGTGTGAACATTTGCTCAATTGTTGTGAATAATCTTAAAGGTAAAGGATTAAACCGACCGATAAAGGATTTTGAAGGCCGATACCGATACAAATATTTGTTGGTTTTAAAATCCGATATATCGGCCGATATTATTAGTTTTTTTATTTTTTTATTTCAGAAACGCAACAACAAAATGTTAAAAAATTTCCCTAACATTAGTTATTTGTAGTTAATTATGAGTTTTAACTAAAATATTATGATAATGCATAACTGGTTCTCTCTGCCCAACTCTGGCTGGATCAACAGGTTGCAGGATGTGTGGCGCGTGTGCACGAGTGTTGCCAACAGGGACGGTGTAGAGTGCCCTCTGGTGGACAAACTATACAACTCCAACACTCATGACATGGTTGAAGCGTGATTCGTCCGTTTTTATTTTTATTTTTGAAATATTCATTTATCGGCCATTATAACTGCCGATACCGATATTTTAGAAAATGTCTAATATCGGCCGATAATATCGGCCTGCCGATATATCGGTCTGGCTCTATACACTTATTCACGGCAGCGCCATCTTTGATTTTTAATGAGAATGAAAGCGAGGCTGTGAGGGATAGACTTGCATCTCTTCAATGGGCTGTACTGTTATTTAATGTGTTTTCGGATTGTTCTGCTTATGAAACACTGGAAAAATATCTTTCCAAGAAATTTCAGTTGACAAAAAACTCCCGACAATGTAAGTTGTGGAAAATTGTAAGTAAACTAGGAGCTTTATTCAGCTTTTTACAGCGGATGCCATTGGAAACACGGTAAGTCTATCCCTCACAGCCTCACTTTCATACCTGGCATGGCGCTGCTCTGAATAAGGTCTATTGCGAAGTATCATCTTTCCTGAGCTTGAAACCTTTGGATCCCTTTGACTTTCACTGAATGGACAAAAACAGCTAAAACTTCTTATCATAAAATATCTTATTTTGTGTTTTGCATTAGAAAAGAAAAAAAATCATACTACTTTGGAATGGCATCAAGGGGAGTGAATGATGCCTGAATGTTTTTGGCAATCCTCGGATCACAGCCAATGTCTGGTTCGGAGTTGCAATACTGTTTGTAGACCACTAGAGGAAGCTGGAGGTTAATGGAAACGCATCCTTCCTGAAGGTGTTTTCAGAACTTTGCTGTATTTTTTTACATTCCCTTGATCCTCAATGTGTATTCATTCTCATTAAATCCTAGGATTGCACCTTGAAGACTAACAGCAACAAAGTAAGAAAAGCGTGTTGATTGTGGTACAGTAAATGTATTCAGCTCACCTGTGAAAATGGTCCAAATGACTAAGTGCATTGAAATTTACACCTCAAAATATAAATATTTATTGCATTTATTTTATATTTACTGTGTTGGAACTACTTCACCCCTCAAAAATAAATCCCATGCCAGACAAACCATCCACCAATAAACCCTCATAAGATTATTATTATTATTATCATTATTACTATGAAGAAACTATTAGAACCAAGATGCCAAAATGAGGTCAATAGACTAATAAATGTAACAATATTAATTGGATTAATCAGTAAATACTTGATTAGAAAATGTGAGGAAAACTGTCTTGTTTCAATCCTAAGAGTAGACTGCCATAATATACACAAAGGACATTATTTATGAAAATGGAAGAAGACTATCACGCTAGTGCTATGTTGGCCTAATGCTTAATTTAATCTTCCATGCTCTGTTTTATCTCTTTACCGGGGCAGCCTTTTGAATTATTCCAGTGACTGATGTGAGCCGAGACAATGGCTGCCTTAATTGAATTAGTGACGGAGCTGGTTTAACGTGCGACTCGGTCTAATTGCCACAAATCATTTCTGGAAAAAGATGACCTCTCCTGTAGCCAAACTGTCTGCTGGAGCAGATTTCCTCTGGTTGAGCAGAACCATTTTGAACAGGGGTCTTCACTTAACTGCCCAGTTTACATTTACATTTAGCCTTTGCTTTTATCCAAAGCGACTTACAATTGCTATATATGTCAGAGGTCGCACGCCTCTGGAGCAACTAGGGGTTAAGTGTCTTGCTCAGGGACACATTGGTGTCTCGCAGTGGATTCGAACCCGGGTCTCTCACACCAAAGGCATGTGAAGCACCTCTCTGCTGAAAACACAATTTTTCTCCATTGCGTTCAATGTACTATAACCTGTATGTTTTAATTATTTATTTGAATTTGAATTTATTTGTTTCCTACTCTACTGTACAGCACTTTGGCTGACCAAGGTTGATTTTAAATGCGTAATGAATGAACTGGGCTAAGTTAAAGGAGTAGTTGACTTTAAAAAACTTTTGCTGATAATTTACTCACCCCCACGTCATCCAAGATGTCCATGTCATTCTTTCTTCAGTCGAAAAGAAATGAAAGTTTTTGATGAAAACATTCCAGCATTTTTCTCCATATAATGGACTTCATTGGGAACCAAACGGTTCAAGGTCCAAAAGACACTGTCAGTGCAGCTTCAAAGGCTGAATAAGGGTCTTATCTAGCAAAACGATCGCTCATTTAAAAAATAAATAAAGTTAAAGTTTTAAAAGCTCAAATGGTCGCCTTGCTCTGTTCTGTGTGGCTCTCCTGTTCGAACTCGTTTATCAAAATGAACGAATCTTTTCCAGAGTCAACTCATTCATTTCGCTCGCTGAAGGAACCAAATGACTCGAAAAAAGATTTGTTCATTTTGATGAACGGGTTCGAACCAGGAGAGTCACAAACGCGCATCACAGAACAGAGCAAGGCGAGCATTTGAGCTTATAAAACTTAAACTTTGTTGTTGTTTTTTTTTTTTTAAATGAGCGATCGTTTCGCTTGATAAGACCCTTATTCATCGTCTGGAATCATTTAAAGCCCTTTGAACAGTTTGCAGTTTGCACTGAAACTACTTTTGGACCTTGAAACGTTTGGTTCCCATTGAAGTCCATTATATGGAGAAAAATCCTGGAATGTTTTCATCAAAAACCTTCATTTCTTTTCGACTGAATAAAGAATGACATGGACATCTTGGATGATATGGGGGTGAGTAAATTATCTTATATGAGTAATACGAGTACATTTTTTTAAGAGTGAACTACTCCTTTAAGTGCGATCACCTTAGTTAAGGGAAAAAATAGTTTAATATAAAAAAAATGGTGGAGTATCCTTTTAATATGACACGGTATTTTTCCTCAGCATTCTAAGAAATAGAAATCTTTTGCAACATTAAAAATGCCTTTACTTTCACTTTTGATCAATTTAATTGAAATTTCTTTCAAACTTTTTATCAGAAAGGTGTTAGATCGCAAGAGAAAAGGACACTCACACTCTCCTCCTCCTCTCTCATCGCAGGCATGGTGCTGATGGACAGGTTGATGGCTGTAATGGTGACGAACAGGACCGACAGACAGGCGAAGATCTTCCCGGGCAGGCCGGAGTGAGGCTTCTCCACCATGTCTCTTAGATTATCCATGCAGCGTCCGAGACGAGTCTCCCCGGCCAATCCGCTCCCGCTATCGTCCTCGTCGTCGTCATCCTCCTCGTCCCGCTCGAGCTCGTCGCACTCCTCCACGCGCTGCAGGAGGCGTCGCCGGCAGCACCACTCCAGGCTTTCCTGCGGGACGCCCCAGTAGAGCAGCTCCTCCTGGAAGGACAGGGCGCACATCTCCCGCAGAGAGCGCAGCTTCCCGGCGCGCAGGAACGTGAGGATGGTCCTGAAGGCGCAGGGGCTTCGGTCGAAGAAGAACTCGTTGTGGACCACGTCGTAGTCGTCGCACACACGCATGATCTCGTCGAAGCTGCTGCACAGGCGTAACTGTCCCAGACGCGAGAGCGGGAAGTCCTCCAGCGTGGTCCAGGGAAGCTGGTACCGGAGGCCGCCCACGTTAATGATGACATGCAGGCGCTGGCCACAGGCGTCGTCGGGACGGGGCGCGTCGGGGGTGTTGGGGTCAGTCGGGGGCAGTCGTTGCGCTCGTTTATAGTAAACCCCCTTTAGAGCCTCTCGCTCCTGGATGGGGGGAGCGTTCAGAGAGGTGTCCGAGGTGCAGCTTAAAGCGCTGTAGTCGTAATCCGAACCATCGCCCGCAAGTAAAGTCATCTTTCACCCGACACCTCCACCTCAGCGGCCGTCACATGCCTGTGGTCCAGCGCTTCCTCTCAAACACTGCCCTGGCCAGAGAGAGGGACAGAGGATTACAGTCAGAATAGTATCACTGTATCTATCTATCCATCCATCCATCCATCCATCCATCCATCCATCCACATCCGTCCGTCCATCTATCTATCTATCTATCTATCTATCTATCTATCTATCTATCTATCTACATCTGTCCATCCATCCATCCATCCATCTATCTATCCTTATCCATCCATCCATAATTCATCCGTCCGTCAGTCCATCCATCTACATCCGTCTGTTCATCCATCCGTCTACCTCCATCCGTCCTTATCCATCTATCTATTCATCCGTCTGTCCATCCATTTACATCCGTCTGTTCATCCATCCATCCATCCGTCTGTCCATCCATTTACATCCATCTGTTCATCCATCCATCCATCTAACTATTCTTCCGTCCGTCCGTCCATCTACATCCGTCTGTTCTTCCATCCATCCATCCATCTCTTAATCAGTCCATCCATCCACATCCGTCCGTCCATCCATCCATCCATCCATCTATTCCTCCGTCCGTCCGTCCGTCCATCTACATCCATCTGTTCATCCATCCATCCATCTCTTCATCAGTCCATCCATCCATCTACATCCGTCCATCCATCCATCCATCTCTTCATCAGTCCATCCATCCATCTACATCCATCCGTCCATCCATCCATCTATTCCTCCGTCCGTCCGTCCGTCCATCCATCTACATCCATCTGTTCATCCATCCATCCATCTCTTCATCAGTCCATCCATCCATCTACATCCGTCCATCCATCCATCCATCCATCCATCCATCCATCCATCTCTTCATCAGTCCATCCATCCATCTACATCCATCTGTTCATCCATCCATCCATCCATCCATCCATCTATTCCTCCGTCTGTCCGTCCGTCCATCCATCTACATCCATCTGTTCATCCATCCATCCATCCATCCATCCATCCATCTATTCATCAGTCCGTCCATCCATCTACATCCGTCCATCCATCCATCCATTCCTCCGTCCGTCCGTCCATCCATCTACATCCATCTGTTCATCCATACATCTATTTATCCATCCATCTATTCATCAGTCCGTCCATCCATCCATCCATTTATCCATCCGTCCGTCCATCTACATCCATCTATTCATCCGTCCATCCATCCATCCATCTCCGCCTGTCCGTCCGTGGACATTACACAGAAAAGATTAGTAAGCAATTTTTGTTGTAATGTTTATGCATTTTAAGGAACAAAAAATGTTTAAGTTATTTTTTTGGTAAACATCATTATGCCACAAGTCGATTGAGCTTACAGATTCAGTGCTTAACCCAGAACATCCCTTTAAAAACTGGCTGCGCTAAAAATGTTAATGGCACATACATACATACCAAGAAAACCCATTTTAGGACAAACAAAAAAACCCTTTCGAAGAGATGAACGAACTCGGTCACTAAAATGAAAAACCTATCCGGAAGAGGTAACGAGATAAAGAGAATGCCATTAGAATAAGTGGTTTCCCGCGAGACGCGCGGCGAGGCTGATGACATCACTCATGTCCCTCTTCCTCTGTAATGCACTAAAAAGTACTTTCTAATGGACACAATGCTCGCGGGTTCTGCTAATCAATAATCCTGCGGTTTACTTTTTGGGGAAGACTCAAGAGTGCAGAAGTCAGTTGCCCTGATTTTATTGGGTACACACTGTTCGAAACGAGGGACCCTGTTGGAAATACGGTTATGGAGTTCACGATTTTTTAGAAAAGCTGATGCAATTTCAGCTGTTTTCATGCTACCACCTTCAAACTTTTGACCAATCATTTCCATTTCTTGATTTTCACCCTACATCATGCGTCACATTCATTGGTCGTTTTTAGGAGCATCTGGAACCTTCGGATAAGATCCTTCATGTTCTGACTTGTTGCGTGGGATCTGCTGATGAATGAACCCTTGCGAAACAAGTTAACCCAATGTCTTGGCACGCAGATAGTGCACAACAGGAAGCTTCCCAATCCAACTAACAGTGTGAAAATGACACCTCTTTATCAAACTCATCTCAAATGTTCACCTACACAACAAGTGGAGGATTTTGAACCTTAGACAGCTTTCTTACAATGCCTATCCATCTGTTTGTCTGTCTATCATCTGTCTGTCTGTCTGTCAAGATTATTGATTATTGAGTATTGTGTATGATTATTGTTTGTGTCGTGTTGTATTGTCTTACTGCATGAATTGTTATTGTGCCTTTGCAATCTGTGTCTGCTTGCTTATTTGTTTGAATTGAGTGTCACATGTTTAGTGTGTCTGTCCCCTCTTTATAAGTCCTGCTGTAAATATAATTGTAATGTATTTTATTGATGTATGCCCATTCACAACTGGCCGGGGACTACAGCTGGAAATTAGCCGTAAAGGCTAACGCTGCTCTTTTTCTTTCAAAAAGGGACTGTCCACATTATTAAAAAACTAATAAACTAAACTATCTATCTATCTATCTATCTATCTATCTATCTATCTATCTATCTATCTATCTATCTATCTATCTATCTATCTATCTATAATGACAAACTCATCTTTTTTTCAAACTCATCTCAAATGTTCACCACACAACAAGGAGTTTTTCTTAACCTTTAATTTTCATTCTAATTGTGTCCGAATGGTCGGATATGTGCATATTTAATTTTAAGTTAATTAACAAAAAATATATTAAAAAGGTAATTTAATATATAAATAGTTACATGAATTTAATTGAAGTCTTTCTTGCGGTCTGTCTGCTAGTGCTATCCAATTCAAACGTCAAATTTAAGAATTTAATTGGAATTTAAAAATCATTCTCAATTCAATTGCAAATGGCGCACAACACTGGTCCCAGATGCTTCATACTCTCCATGGCCAGTGTCCAAACTAATTAAATCAATTACCATGATTAAGCTGTAATGGGTTCACAAGTTACAAATTAGTGTCTGCGGCCCTGTGTGTTCAGGCACCAATCATCGGCCAAGATGGGAGCCTTCGGATTGCTAAATTCAGGAAGCGAGTGCGTCACTGCATGCTTATTAAGCACCTGCACTGTCAGTCGCCACGAGATAATGATTACGCTTGGCCTTTTGTTTCCGACCTGTCAAATTAAGCGGGTGCCAACCACTGAGCGTCCGCTGCCTTTACTGCCTTTAGCTTCCTCTCATGCCAGCCTAATCTTAAGGAGGCTTCAGTGTCAAAGAAGTTGTGAGAATAAGTGGATGAGAGGAAGGGGTCAACAAATTCCACAGTGACAGGAAGAAGATGTTGGGAAGAGGAACATACGTCTTTGGGAAATGGCAACTGGTGGACAGATTTGCCAGTTTGCAAAGACTGGGAAAAGATTTGTGAAATATTTATACATCATCTACTTTTTAACTTTCAAGCAAGGCTTTAAGCTAACAAAAACTTTGCCTTTGTAGTTAAAAGGCAGTTTTGTGTGAATTTCTGTACATTTCTGTTTATTTGAAATATACTTGTTTTCCAGTATAAACATCTCATCGTTCTTAAATCAATACAATTACTTGAGAAGCAAAATAACAAGTAAAAATGCATCAAAATTAAAACAAGAAGAAATGTTTGCCAATGGTTTCATTTTATTTGTCTTGTTTTAAGCAGAAAATTAATAAAAAAAAAAAAAACATTTTGTCATTACTCACCCTCGTGTTGTTCCAACCCTGTATGAGTTTCTTTCTTCTGTTAAACACAAAAAAAAGATATTTTGAACAATTTTGATAAGCAGACAGTTGATGGACTCCATTCACTTCACTGTAAAAAATAATCGTGATTTTAACGGTATAAGAGACCGTAAAAATGCTACAGTGCAAAACTGTTAATTGCAAAACAGTCAAAAAATAACTGCGATACATCTCATGGTACATTTAATGTAATTTTACTGTAAAATACCGTTAAATTTACAGTTTTTGAAAGTGAAAAAGAACTCCTTGTATAATTTACAGTGAAAAAACGTAAATTGACATTTCCACAATTCCCTGTGTGACACTTCCTTTACCGTCAAACTTTACCGTCGTCTTTATGTATTTTTGTTGACATAACTATGGTTACTCATAGTATTCTTTTTTTCTAATCAGTTATGTACATACTGTAAATTTTAAGTTAAGTCTGTAAAACCAATAACGCTGCTAACGCATTTTTGACGGTAAAGTTCTGGCAACCACAGCTGCCGTTTTTTTAGCGTAAAAATTACGGTTTTATTTGAAAATACTATGGAAGTCAACGACTAGCGTCAACTCTCTCGTTACCAACATCCTTCAAAACAGAAGAAAGAAACTCATACAGGGTTGGAACAACATGAGAGTGAGTAAATTGACAGAATTTTCATTTTTTTGGATGAATCACTTTAATTTTGATAAATTCATAAGAAAACAAGTCTTTATCTTTAGTAATTTTAATACTCAAGTAACTGTACCTTGATTTAAGTGTGTTTAGATGTTTGTACTGGAAAGCCAGATAAAACGACTCAGGACGAAATTCATTTTTGAAGTGAAATTCCAATTCTACCGTTGCTTCCTCAATTCAAATTGATTTCAAATTCATCTGAAATCAAATTTGAAAGGTTTTCTCAATTCAGTTCTGACTGGCGCACAACCCTGTCATAACAGTCCCGTATCAGTACAGTAGTCGAGATGACTTTTGCGTTGCATTCAATTGTTCAGAAGCCATGTAAATATTAATTTCTTGTATTTTTTTTTTTGTTTGTCATGTTAATATTAATGCATCAAATCTAGTGCAATACTTCTTGATTTGCTACATTTGTGATTTTTGGTGACTTATGACTTATATTTCAGTCTATTTTTCAGTTGCATGACTTCAGAAGACTCGTATTATAGTATGCGAGTTAGATTTATTGTGTTCTGGTCTCAGTATTTCATTGTTCACAGTGCTTTTTCCAATACGTTCTTCAAGATTTCTCTTAAGCAACGGGTTTAGAACAAGAGGATGAGTAAACGATGACAGTTTTCTTTTTGCTGAACCATACCTTTTAAGGAACTACAGTACGGAAGGACAGAATGAAACAGCGACCCTTTGAACCGCCGCATTGGTAACCGTGCGTTTTCAAGCGTATATTTCTCTCTGACGCAGCGAGATCACAGCTTTGCTCCAGGGCTTTTTCTCCAGATTGCCTCTGAGTCACAGGACAGTGATTCTGCCAGTAACATGCTGAGCACACTTTCCAAACCTAACACTGCTAACCTTCATCATGTAGAAAACTGAACTCTGAAGATCTCAACCCTCTGCTTTCAGAGAACAGTGCTCCCCAAAATGAACATCCCGTCGTCGTGTCCTTCGAAACTGTATTTATTTCATCTGTGGAACACAAAAGGAAATATTTAGAGCAGAAGGTGAGATTCTCTTGACACCACAACACAATATATGAAAGTGTTATTTGAATCATAGCTGTTCCCCAAGAGGACTGAGCTACTTGAGTAGAATAAGAGGTCTTGTAATGTGATATTTAGTATGCGGAGCACAGGGAGATTACAGGCGTCGCTTATTTACATAGCAAGATTTGGTGACTCTTGAAAGGCAAGAACAATCGTACTGTGACAGCCAGACAAAATTACCCAATTGGAAAATTGCTTGTGTTTTTAATACACTCCGCAGTCTTGCTAAATGTATGGCAACCGTCTCCAACAGCTGCTTCTGATATATCAAAAACCCACATGGATCAGCCTGAAGGAACGTCATTTACCTTCAAATACTTTTTTGGGGCTTGATGCAAAATCCTGAAGTATCCCTATAATGTCAGAACAATAACTAGAATATCAGTGCTGGATCTCGTTAAAGGGATGGATAACATGGGAAATATCTCCAGGCTGATTTGTATGAGGCTTATTGAATTATCTTTGGCTGATTCTTATTTGCATGTCAAACACAGAAGCCAAAGCTTTTCTTCTGGTGCAACTTTGCACACAATAAAACACCCCATCCATTCTGTTAAACACGTCAAAACATCATCCACATAACCACACATTACGGCTGGCCAATATATTAAATATTCATGATGATATAGAGTATTGTGAGGATAATTCCGGTGATATAAAATAGAGTATTGCACTTTTTGCCTATGGACAGTGTCAATCAAGCTGTTTTTAGATTTGGAAAAATTCGAGTCAAATACATTTCGATAAATCGACCCAGAACTTTTTGATCAAATAAACTCAACCTTGGTGAGAATAAGAGACTTCATTCAAAAACATAAAATAATCGTACTGACCCCAAACTTTTAAAACTGTTTATTCCTATGCATTATTTTATTGGTGCATTTAAAAAAAAATGCTGGGTTGTTTTAACTCAATTTTGGGTCAAATATGGACAACCTCAAATGTTGGATTAAAAATGCAATTTAAAAATGTAACCCAACGACTGGGTTTGTCCATATTTGACTTAAAATTGGGTTAAACCAACCCAGCACCTTTTTAGAGTGTAATAAAAATGTATATAAACTAGGCTATATAAAAAAATATAAAAAAAATGGCATAAACACAGCAAAATTACTAAAATGTTAACTAAAATTAAAATGGAAAATAAAAATTTAAAAAACTAATACAAAATATGAATAAAAAATAAGAAGTATCTCAATGATACTAAAATAACTGTCAAATACCAGGCTTCCTTATGTCTTCATTGTTTTTAACTATTTTTTTTATTGTGTTTTAGTTAATCTTTTTAAGGACTTTTTAAACTGAAGCTAAAATCTTATTTAAAATTGAACCAATTATATTACCATTGAGATTGTTATAGTTAAATTGATTGGTTGACTGATTTATTTATTTATGTTTTATGGCCTTGACAGTATGTGTGCATTTATTGTATGTGAACATTGGTGTAATGTTTTGTTAGCTTTGTCTTGTCTGGGGGACTACGGATGAAAAAAAGCCTCTGGCTAAATCCGGTACAATACATGAAATTGTAATTTTATGTTAAAAATTGTGCATGGTCCCTTCATAAATAAATAAAGAATACAAAGAATACAATATAGAGATTCATATATCAAATTCATCATCTGCCAGAAAAAAGTTACCAGCTGTTCACCCAAACCACTGAAGTATTCTGATATCAATTTTGTGCATAATTTCCATTATGTTCATCATGTCACTACCTATTTTTGTACATACACTTTGCTCGCCTGTTGTGATTAAGCAGGAAGATTCATTTTTTGGGTGATTATGAACCATCCTCCACGGTTGCCTGGTGAGACAGTTGGCAAACGTCGCCCCACCCCCTCCCACGCATCTCATGCTCTCTTCTGGTGCGCCCACCCATCGTCTATGGGGTCCAGCCTGCATCCTGGAGCTCTACGTCTTCATGACACCATCCCAGCTAACAAGAATGTTTTGCTAACGTTCCAATTAAGTAATGAAAATGTTATCTTCTCAGAACATTCAAAACATTAACGTTTTAATGATAAATTAAGGAATTGTTTTTTCTAATTTCGTACAGGGGAACATTAAATGGGATTTAGATTGGAAACTGAGATTTTCACTATAATTGGCTCAATCATCTTCAGATCATGCTGCATGGCTTAAAGTTATTAAAAGCTTTTTGAAAACTAATTTTAAAAAAAGCACGCTAAATTGGATGCAAGGCTATATTCCTGCAACACTTTCGAAATTTGGGACAAATCTTGGTACATGTCATCACAAGCATGAACTACATGCAGTGTTTTGGCACAGCGCCCCCTACTGGTCAGAAGATATGACAAATGGCTATATTTTTGCTAATCACTTCTGAAAGCTTTACCCAAAAATCATACAACTTTTAGTTCAGTGCAGCATCATGAGTCGAATAACACCAATTATCCCACTTCAGCCATTTTTTAAAATTAATTTAGCCTATTTTTATGAAACCTTCTTTGATATTTACCATTGTATATTCTGCATAACCGGACTGTTTAAATGAACACTGATAAAAAACTACTGGCCTACAAGTTTTAAGGCTGATATAACATTGATATAAGGGATCCCCCGGATTTAGACCTACTTATGTATTTATATAAAGCCTTCACAGGCAAATTTTCTTTATGCATTTCCCTAGGGTCGAAATCAGACATATAAACGTCAGGAAACACGGTTCCTGGCTGCATGTCAATATCCATGGATCACTAGATCTAAGTTGAAAGGAACACTAAATCAAGCCCAACATTTAGTTGTTTGTTTTACTCAGTTTCCCCAATTTTTTATTTATTTATTTATTTATTTATTTATTTAACAGTCAGACATACATTCAAACAAACCAACATAGTGCAGTAGTGAGCAATCTTGTAAATCCATAATTCCAGCAGTGACAAGAGTGATTTAAGTGTTTGATCTAAGGCCCCGTCCACACTACTGCGTTTTCGTTTAAAAACGGAGACCTTTTGGTACATTTGCACCTCCCGTCCACACTAAAACGGCAAAAACGAAGACCTAAAACGGAGAAGTTTAGAAACGCTGCAGCTGCGTTTTGAATCTCCGGAGGGCGTTTTAGTATGGACGAGACAAAACGGAGGAGTTTACAAACGATGACGCAGAGGCTCACGCTCTGCTCTATGATTGGGTGTCATCAGTCATGACGTATCTTTCCCTGATTCGCCAACCACTGTTTACACCGGCGCGCGCATGTCCAGTGTTGGTGAATGGTCACGTGATCCACGTTCTCAGTCGTTTTAGTGTGGACGGAGATAAATTCTAATACGCAGGTAAAACGTTAGTGTGGACGGAGATCGTTTTCGTTTTAATTCTCCGTTTTTAAACGAAAACGCAGTAGTGTGGACGGGGGCCTAAGTGTGTATGTGAGCGGGTGTGAGTGTGGGTGTGTGTATGCGTAAACAAAGTAACCATTTATTATTTATTACCATTACAATCACCATCCCACTCCCCACTACCATCATACTCCCCATATTGTGTTGGTAGATTTTTATTTCCATCCTTCCTCCTATGTAACAATTGCCAATTGCAGTTTCCCCAATTAAATCCAGCCACTCGGCCCGGCTGAGCTGAGTGTGTTCCGGCGGGAAATGCTGGGTTGTTTTAACCCAACTTTGGGTCAAATATGTACAAACCCAAACACTGGGTTAAAAATGTAATTCAAAAATGTACCCCAATGGCTGGGTTTGTCCATGTCCATAACTTCTCTTGACACCAAACTTTGTATGTGTCATTGTCTACATCAATATGGAAACTACATCAATGTGGTAACATCAATTTGGTAAAGTGACAAGCAAATCATTCATACTACATGTGATTGTATATGTGATTTTTCAGCCATTTTGACTAAAATAATATAAACATTTCTTCAATTACTTGCAATAAAAAGAGCTGACGTATTGATCTCAAAGATCCTAGCTCATTATTTTAGTTCATTAAATGACTCACGCTAAGTCAGACAACAGATTTTTTTGAGTTATTCTTACACTATACGCCATCTGGAAAAACCATCATTCTCAGCGTGAATGATCTTCCTTTACCAAAAGACACACAGTATGAAGGAGAGAAACCACATTCATTGTCTGAGCACTACAACGCTGTTCTCTCCTCATCTGTAGCTCTGACACTTGTAGCTCGCAGCAGAGAATATTCCCCGCAACAGCTCGGCATAAGTGCATCTCTTGAACCGTCTTTGTGCAGAGAGTCTATGTATACACAACACATGTTCAACATCGGCATGTTCAGGTCCAACAGCGCCCGCAGCCATGCTCATATCGTAAGACATCTGCTTACATCAACTCGATCGGGAAGCGGAGAGAGGGGTTTTTTTTAGATATTAGTGGGTGGATTTAATAAATCGCTGAATATATTGAAACAAGAAACATCTTCGGGCTATAATTGCTTTCCCTTCCTCTCATGTGTCCACCACACATAATGCAGACTCTGGGTTTAGCAAAGCTCTCCATCTCCTCACTGTACTTAACCTTTGCCACAGCGCTGCTTCTATTCCTGGCAGGTTTTCAGCACATCACCGGCAGAGATGCATTGCATAGCAGTCTGTGTTTTCATTTAGATTCCAGCAGCTGGGTCATCCTGATCTCTGTTTGTGCACTAATGGCTCCGGTTATTAATGCATTGTTGCAGCAGGTTGTCGCAAATGCAAACCTCCTCGATATGGATTGTCATCACACTATTCGGTAAATCTCACCTAACCTGCCAGGAACATGTTCAGGTCGTATGTCACTTCAAAATCAAATGAAAATCTAATATCATTTTTGCATTTTAGGATCTGTTTTTTTACACTGTGAAAAGTAACAATATATCATGCAATGCCAAGTTGCATTAATGTCATCCAAATCAATATATAATACACATATATATATATATATATATATATAA